AGTAAATGAAATTAGATTATGAAGAGAAAAAGAATATAAAAAAAATGAAATGAAACTAGTAAAGGAAAAACGAAAAAAAATAAGAAGAAAACGAGAAAAAGGAAAAGGAGAAAAGAAAGAAAAACGGAAAAAAAAAGAAAAGAAGCATGGAAATAAAAAAGAATTGGAGAAAAAAGAGAAATTTCCCACAAAAACTAGCGTGGGTAGGAAATGTAATTAGTTTGAACTTTGACGGGTAGAAAAATAAATAAATAGGCAAAACTAAATAATTTTTTTTTGTAGGTAACTGTGTCATTCTCCCTTATTAATTAGCACCCTTATGAATGTATAAGGCCCAAAAATCCCAAAACAGTCAAGAAGTTGCAACATGATCCCCACTAGATCACAATCAAAAAGTTGCATTGAAGATGATAGTTCAATATTTTTAAGAAATCAGTGGCGAGATACATCAGTTATTGGTGTGCATATGCCTTTCGTTTGTGACCACCACCAGCAGGAGAGGGAGGCTACTCTTCCCACCCCACCACTATTCTTAATTAGCGTGCTTTTCAACAGTTTGCTGTTCTTTCAAGGATAAACTTCAGAACAGAGAAGCAGCCTTCGACCAGCCCTTTCATTCCCCTTTTCGGCTCTTTGATCATGTGGATAACTATTATCTCCGCTCCTTCTTTATTGGTTACTTTCTGCCGATAAGTGTAGGGAAAGAAATTATGTATACTCTCACGATCCAAGTTCTTCCTCCGCGAATTATCGTGACAGCACATAGTCTCTGTGACTAGGTAAGCTTAACCAATTGCGGAAAATGAATTAAAGATACAAAACTAGCCAACTAACAGGTAAATATAATTAAAAGAGTTTAAGATGCCGCTCGACATATATAATAACAACACTCTCGACTGAACATAGCACTCCAATACCCGGAATCTCATGAATCACAAGCTAAAGAAAATACATAGTGTTCTAACTCCAGAAGTCTAAATGAAGGAAATACTGGAAGTCTATAACTGAAGGAAGAGTAGAGAGGGACTACTAGGTCTGCAAACGTCGCAGATATACCTCGAAGTCTCTGGATCGCCTTGCCTCACGGATAGTATGGTTGAGCAGAAGAACCTGGATCTACGCACAAAAAAGCTGTGCAGGAAAGTGCGAGTACACCACAACGGTACCCACTAAGTGCCAAGCCTAACCTCGGTCGAGTAGTGACGAGATCAAGTCAGGGCCCTACTGGTTATATATAACAATGTATAATTAACAAGGTAAAGTAGTATGAAAAGTGTATAATTAAAATATTAACAGTCAATAAAGATGAAATCACAGAAAGAAATAACTCAGTACACGGAGATAGCAATGGGGGATCTCCCAGGATAACATTTCGTAGTCCCAAACGTAAATGTACAGAGGATCTCCCAGGATACCGTCCCATAGTCCAAATCGTAAATGTGTAGGGAGGTCTCCCGGAATACCGTTCCGTAGTCCCAAAGTAAATATCCAGTACAGGGGGATCTCCCGGGATACCATCCCGTAGTCCTAAAGAAAAATGTGCAGGGAGATCTCCCGGAATACCATTCCATAGTCCCAAAGTAAACATGCAAGGGGGATCTCCCGAAATACTGTTCCATAGTCCCAAAGTAAATACACAACAGTTTTGACAAGAAGATCTACAATTCTATTCAAGTTTGTATCAAGATATAGGAAATTCCTACTCTAAACATGCTATACATAATCCAAGTAAGCAGTTAAAACAGATAAGACAGTTAAGCCACATAAGCATGCTTTCCTAAGCTAAACATGATGCTTCACATATTAATATTGCCCAATTAAAGGAAAACACAAATATTTACTTAATAAAAACGGGGGTTTTCAACATTAGCACGTGTACGCACTCGTCACCTTACGTACACGACATTCATGTAACAATAGTACCAAAATCCTAAGGGGAGTTCCCCCATACAAGGTTAGGCAAGCCACTTACCTCGAACTAGCTCAAAATCAATCTGATATCACGCTCTTGCCACGAGTATCCAACTCCGACTGGCCAAAATCTAATCAAATCAATTATATAACGTAAATAAAACTACAAACTAATTTATCTAATGAATTTGAAGTTACAACGAGTAATTAGAAAGACGCCCGAAAATCCTCCACAGCCCACGTCTCAGAATTGAGTAAAAGTTACCAATTTAGAACACACATTGACTCACGAGATCACTCGTCCAAAAAGTATTCAATTCCGATACCAAAAACCCGATCAAAACCCAAAAACTCGATTGGGGAATGTTTCCCCTAAATTCCCACTTTTCCACTCCAATTCCTTGATTAGATGAGTAAAACAACAATAGATTGATGAAATATAAATGAAATAGGGTTACGAATCGTTACCCACTCATTTCCTCTTCAAAAACCTCAAAAAATCGTCTTATCCCGAGCTCAAAATCGAATTTGATGTTATGAACTTCAAACCCCTCGAAATTTCATATTTCTGCCCAACGATTACTGCATTTGCGGTCCTGGGGACGCACCTGCAGTCCCGCACCTGCGTAAAAAGCATCGCAGGTGCAAAACCAACTTATACGGGCTGGGGCCGCATCTACGGTCATTGGGCCGCATTTGCGGTTCCCTGACCGCAACTGCGGTCCCTTATGCCTTGGCCCTCTTCCACTTTTGCGATTACCAAGCCGCTTATGCGGCCCCACATCTGCGGTCCAACATCCGTGGCTGCGAAAACAATAGGTTCAACATATCAAAAATTTGCCTAAGTCCAAATTCAAATCCGTTAAGCATCCGAAACTCACCAGAGGCCCCCGAGACCTCAACCAAACATACCAACCAATCCTAAATTATCATACAAACTTAGTCGATCCCTCAAATCACATGAAACAATGCTAAAACCACGAATCACCTTCTAATCCAAACCTAATGTACTTGAATTTTCAAAATTCTACAAACGATGCCGAAACCAACCAAACCATGTCCGATTGACCCCAAATTTTGCACACAAGTCATATTCAATACTACGGACCTACTCCAACTTCCGGAATCGGAATCCAACCCCGATATCAAAATTTCACTATCGGCCCCAAATTCCAAAAATTCAACTTTCACCATTTCAAGCCTAAATAAGCTACGGACCTCCAAAACACAATCTGGACACGCCCTAAGTCCGAAATCACCCAATGGAGCTAAAGGAATCGACGGAATTCCATTTCAGACCCGTCTTTACACTGCTCCAACTACGATCCAAATTCTAAGACTTAAACTCTCATTTAGGTACTAAGTGTCCCAAAATACTCTGAAACTCAAGATGAACCATCCCGTCAAACTACAATAATAGAATTAGACACGGGGAAAGTAGTTAATAGGGGATCGGGGTGTTGATTCTCAAAATGACCGTCCGGGTTGTTACATCCTCCCCCTATTAAAACATTCGTTCGTCCTCGAATGAGCATAGAGACATACCTAAAGTGGTGAAAAGATCATGATAATGGCTACGCAGATCCTGCTCGGTCTCCCAAGTCACCTCCTCGACCGACTGACCCTGCCACTGAACCTTTATATGCAATGCTCTTTGACCTCAGCTTTCGAACCTGCCTGTCCAATATAGCCACTGGCTCCTCAACATAAGATAGATCCTTGTCCAAATGGACTGACTTAAAATCTAACACGTGCGACGGATCACCGTGATATTTCTAAAGTATCAAAACATGAAATAGCGGATGAATTCCTACCAATATGGGAGGTAAGACAAGATCAAAAGCAACCTCTCCAACACGTCGTAATACCTTAAAGGGTCCAATAAACCTTAGGCTCAATTTGCCCTTCTTCCCAAATCTCATAACGCCATTCATAGGAGAAACCCAAAGCAAGACCCGCTCTCCAACCATATAGGAAATATCACGAACCTTCCGGTCAGCATAACTCTTTTGTCTGGATTGGGTCGTGCTGAGTCTATCCTGAATCACCTTAACCTTCTCCAAAGCATCCTGAACCAAGTCTGTGCCCAATAATCTAGCTTTGCCCGACTCGAACCAACCTATCAGGGATCTACATCGCCTACCATATAGAGCCTCGTACGGTGCCATATGAATGCTGGACTGGTAACTGTTGTTGTAGGCAAACTCCGGAAGTGGCAAGAACTGATCCCAAAAACCTCCAAACTCCATCACACACGCGCACAGAGCATATCCTTAAGAATCTGAATAGTGCGCTCGGACTGTCCATCCGTCTAGGGGTGAAATACTGTGCTTAGCTCTATCCAAGTACCCAACTCATGCTGAACGACTCTCCAAAACAGTGATGTGAACTGAGTACCTCTATCTGAAATGATGGAAACTGGAAAACCATGCAGACGAACAATCTCTCGGATATAAATCTCAGCCAACCTCTCGGAAGAATAGGTGTTACATACAGGAATGAAGTGTACGGACTTGGTCAGCTGATCCATAATCACCGAAATGACATCAAACTTCCTCAAAGTTCGTATGAGTCTAACTACGAAGTCCATGGTGATCTGCTCCTACTTCCACTCCGAAATCTCTATCTTCTGAAGCAAGACACTCGGTCTCTGGTGCTCATACTTCACCTGCTGACAATTGAGGCACCGAGCTATAAATTCAACTATATCTTTCTTCTTCCGCGTCCACCAATAGTGCTGCCTTAAATCCTGGTTTTGTGACACCCGGATGGATGGAATACCGCAAACTGTGGGCCTCTTCCAAAATCAACTCCCCAAGCCCATTAACACTGGGTACACAAACACTACAAAAAATATGCTAAATTTGCGGAGGTTACTATAACCTCCGCAATGTATATCAAATTGTGGGGGTTTACTTACCCCCGCAAATATATTAAATTTACGGCGGTCAATAACCTCCGCAACCCTTAAAAAAATAGCGCCCCACTTATATTCCCAATGTTTCCCTCATTTTTTTTACCCTTTCCCTCTCTTTTTTTCCAAAACCCCATTCTCATTTTTGCTTATTTTCATTTGCAGCAACCCATCTCACTCTCACTTAATCAAAACCTATTTCTCCTCTTCACTTAATCTCTTTATTTCCTCCGATTTCAAGCCCATTTCTTCTTCATTTCCTTCGATTTCAAGCCCATGTAGCTCTCTGCTTTTCTTCAGCAAAGCAAAATTCCAAATACAATAGCTCTCTGCTTTTCTTCAGCGCCTCCTCTATTGCAAAATGAAAGAGAAATGAAAGAAAACTTCAGATCTATCAATCAATTGGATGTAAGTTTATTTGATTTTGCTCTTTCATACAAATTCCTCTTCGATTTTGCTTTGATTTTGCTCTTTCATTCTTTGATTTTGCTTTTTTGTCTTTCTTTTTCATGCAGGTGGGTTTTAAGTTTATTTTCTCTGTAATTTGTAGAATCGGTGTATTTTGAAGAGATTTGCTAGAATTAGTGTATTTTGAATCGGCAAAAATTTGGTAGTATCGACTGAAATTTGGTAAAATCAGTGTATTTTGAAGAAGGATATAATACTCTTTGTTGAAATTGAGATATAAGTGCTCTTTTTCATTTTGCATTATGTATTATAGGTTCTAAAATTTAGATTTTTATGTATTTTGTAGGTTAATTTCTGTGATTTGGGTCTTAATTGAAATATTTCCTTTTGTATATGTATTTTAGAACTCCTGGGGACCTTCAAAGAAGATGCAATTTTTGCCGGCTGCTTTTCCAATCAGTCTCAAGGTACATTTTTTGTTTTTCTATTTAATAATATTGGAGCAGGCATATGTTAGGAGTAAATGTTATACCGATATGTTATTCTGAAGTGCATCGACTAGTTCATCTACGTTAGAATCGTCGTATAGTTCTTCTGCAGTTTCAATTATGTTGGAACCCAGACCTGTCATAAGTTTAAGAAAAACTTCATATGATGAAAATTAAATTATAGTATGTTCATATGAAATATGAAATTTAGAATTTTTGTAGTTTTATTATCATAGATATAGAGGATTATCATGGTTATATGGAAATTAATTTTGCTAAGGGTTTGTATCTTTTTGAGCTGATGATGTTTGATTTGGGACTTAATTGAACCTTAGTTTTGTGCTGGTTTACTGCTCACACTTAGGGTTTCTCCTCTGGTTAACTTGTAATCTCCTGCGATTGTACTCCTGGCTGCCCTGAAGGTTTTCATTTATATAGTCACCAATATTTTTTGTTTCTTCTTAAGAAATATGTTTGCGTTAAATGCATGTTCTTGATTCTACCATGGGCTTACAATGGAATGTTGTTTCTATGTTTTTTGAATTGACTCATTGCTATTTTTTAAAAAATAATATGATAATTTTCTTGAGTGTGGGATATTCTTTGTGATAGATAGTTCCATAATACAGAACTCTTAACCTCACACCTGATCAACTACTGCTAGTCTGTCACTGCTGCTAATGAAACTCTTAACCTCACACCTGATGAACCACAGAATAATTCCAACAAAGTTGAAAGAGTCTTGTTCCCACAGTCCATACCTATGTGGCTTGCCTCTTTTTCCACCATTTTCGCTATTAGGATTTTGACAAATCAATCCATTTCTGGTGATGGAATGACATTCCTCATTTTAGCCGATGCTTTTATTTTATTTCTTGCAGGTATGCCGAAGCCCAAGCGTTACGAGAACTTTCAGAACTCAATTTAGTCAGCACCTACATCACAAGGTGTATCACAACCTTCATTAACAACTAGATCAACACCTTCGCATTTTGATGATCCACCATAGCTGACTTCATTTATTCAACCGATAGCACGACCAACACCTACAGGTCATGTTGCAGAAAATCCGATTCAGTCAGATCAGACCACAACACAGCAGGTTCCATCAGCCCGGGCTGCGTCACAACACTCACCATCTAGAAAGTGTAGTGGGCGTGTGTCTACGTAACATTGGACTGTAGATGCAATGGGTATGTTAATGCCATCAACTATATAGCGGAAATATTATTATATTGTAAGTCAAGAAAAATAAGAGAGGTGCAAATCCGATTCTGTTATTATTATCAAATTGTTCAACCAATGTCTGTTGTTCATTGCACTCATCAATTGGTACTTGATTAATCTATGGTGTATTAATGTTTGTGGTGTAATACTTTTTGAGTTTTCTTTCCCTTCATAACATCTCTCTTTGTGTTTCTTTTTCTTCCTATTCTTCAACTTTGATGATTAATTTATTTCCGTCTACTAAGTAACTGAATAATAATACTAATACTGCAGTTTCAGTTATAGATTATAGGTGTATAGCTTTGGGTAAATTGTTATGGTAGCAGTAATATTTATAAGCAAATTTTGGACCAAGACAATGACTTGCCACGAAGTAATTGGTTGTTGCCTTCTTTCTTTTCTTTTTGGTATTTCTGTTTAGATAACAATTGTCATTATATATAGTATTGCATCATAATTGCCTCAATTATGTGAAATGAAAATTTAGTGTCAAGGACTTTGTTATTCTTTGCTTGTTCAATTCTTATGTATCTCTGCTATCTCACACTGTTTTTATCTTTTAAGATTCGCAAGGAGCTAACAAGATACATAAAGTGAAGAAAAAAGGCGTGTTAAATTTATATAATGGATAACGCATTGTGGTTGATTTTGACGACATGGATTTTCCCATTGGTGAAGGACAAGGTACTCTTGTAGGCTTTTGCAGAATTTTAGCAACCAACTGCTCTATTTTTCTAATTCACTTTGAGAAATGGCTGGATTTACCCATGACAATCTTCAACCGTTGCTATGATCGATTTATAAAGGTATTATTGAGGCATACAATATCTCTATTTTATGTCATTAGATTGTATATTTGCATGTAATAATTATGTAACGAACCGACCGCTCGTTTTATGAGTTACTGCTCTGTTTCCCCCATTTCTAATTCTTATTGCCTTGTTCAGCTATATATTTTTGTTATCGGGTTGATTGACTCAGGTTCGGAGAGGTTTTGGTAAGTTTTTAGACACTTAGTCTCTTTTGAGTAAGCTTAAGTTGGAAAGGTTAATCGGATATTGAATTATGTGTTAAAGGGCTCGGATGTGAGTTTCGATAGTTCGGATAGCTTTAGGAGGTGATTTGGGACTTAGGAGCGTGATCGGAATATGTTTTGGAGGTAAGGAGTAGATTTAGTCTTGAATTGGCGAAATTGGAATTTTGGCGTTTTCCGGTTGATAGGTGAGATTTTGATAGAGGGGTCGGAATGGAATTCCGGGAGTTGCAATAGGTTCATTGTGTCATTTGGGATGTGTGTGCAAAATTTCAGGTCATTCGAACGTGGTTTGATAGACTTTTTGATCGAAAGCGGAATTTGGAAAATTTTATAATTTTTACGCTTGAATTCGATGCAAATTTAGTGTTTTGATGTGGTTTTTAGCATTCCGAAGATTGGAACAAGTTTGAATGATGTTATGGGATATGTTGGCATATTTTGTTGAGGTCTTGAGGGCCTCAGGTGAGTTTTGGGTTGTTAAACAAATCATTTCAAGTTGAGAAAAATTGCAGAAAATCTACTGTTGATGTTGCAGACAGTAGTGCTTTGCGTTCGCGAGTGGACCCTCGCGTTCGCGAAGGGGTTAGGATGGGAAGCTGTGAAGTTGGCCTTCGTGTTCGCGAAAGAGGTCCCGCGATCGTGAAGGATTGAGCTCATTGGTCATTGCATTCGCGAGGGTGATGCTGCGCGAAGGTCTGAGTTGCTGAGGCATCGCGTTCGCAAGGGGTGGTCGCGTTCGCGTAAGAGGATTTCCGGCCAAACTTAAGTTTGTGCTTTGCGAACACAAGGCGTTACCACGTTCGCGAAGAAGGATTTAAAATAACTGGGAAGAATGATTTAAAAGGCCTATTCCGCGAGTTTTTGCCTAAGTTCCTCCATTTTTGGGCGATTTTGAAGCTTTTTGAAGAGGATTGAAAAAGGAATCAAGGGGGAACACTTGGAGGTAAGATTTATGGACTTAATACTCAATTCTAATGTGTTTTCTACCTAATTAATCATGGAATTTGTAGAATTTAAGCCTAAATATTGAAGAACTAGGGCTTGTAATTGGAGACCTAGAATTTGGGATTTGAGGGGTCGTTTATGGTTGGATTTTGGTGCTTTTGATATGAATGAACTCGGCGAGTGATAAGGAGTCTATTGATGTAAATTTTATTGAATTCTAAGACATGGGCTCGGGGGTCGGGTTTGGCCAATTTCAGGATTTGTGTTGTAATTTAATTCTTTCGAGTGAGCTTTGTTCGTTTAGCATATTTTGATGGTTTTGCACTGATTTTGGTTAGATTTGGAGCATCTGAAGGCCGATTCGAGAGGCAAAGGCATCGCGAGCTAGAGTTGGGACCGGATAGAGGTGAGTAATGATCATAAATGTTGTCCTGAGGGTATGAAACCCCGAATTTCACATTGTTGTGCTATTTTGAGGTGACACACACGCTAGACGACGAGCGTGGGGTCGTGCACTATTGGGGATTGTGACTTAGTCCATCCTGTACGACTGTTTTACTGCGTATTTTATTGAAAACTATTTGCTATCATTATGTTTTGGGCTGAATGCCATATTTGGGCCTCGTGCCAACTGTTTTGGACCCTTAGATGATTTTTACCGCTCTTTCCTCACTGTTTTGATTTTATATATGTACTCAGTCATGCTATATTCTACTATTTTTATAACTCATCCATGTTTACTCTATTTTAACACTTTAAATGATATTTTGGGCTGAGTATCTTATTTTACTGTGCCCGAGTGGCTTTTAGAGATTTCTGACTGAGTAGGGCCAATGGCCTATGTTGTGAGGTTATTATGGGATCGGGCTGCACGCCGCAGCAGTGTTGTACTGATTTATGATTATAAGGCCGAGGGCCTGAGTTGTTATGCCACGAAGTGGCTTGATATGAGGCCGAGAGCCTATTGATTATGCCACGAGATAGCTTGATATTGCTCTTGGGCCGTAAGGGGCCCTTTCCGGAGTCTGTACACCCCCAGTGAGTGCGGGTACCTAATGAGATATATGATATAGCCCGAGGGGCTGATGTTGTTCCATGTGTTTGCCTGAGGGGCTAATTTCTGTTGATATTGTGCCGAGGGGCTGATTTCGGTTGATATTGTGCCGAGGGGCTGATTTTACCATCAGCTTCAGGTTCATATACCGTGTATTGTGATGCTTTGAGAGTTGGTGTTGGGTGTGTATTAATGTAGGAGGGTAGAGTTATTGCTTATGCTTCTCGTCAGTTGAAGCCGCATAAGAAGAACTAATCTGTTCATGATTTGGAGTTGGCTTCCATTGTTCACGCGTTGAAGATTTGGAGGCATTACTTATATGGTGTGTCTTGTGAGGTGTTTACTGGTCATCATAGCCTCCAACACTTGTTCAAGCATAAGGATATCAATTTGAGGCAGCGGAGATGGTTAGAGTTGCTAAAAGATTATGATATTACTATCTTGTACCATCCGGGGAAGGCCAACGTGGTGGCCGATGCCTTGAGTAGGAAGGCGGTGAAT